TGAATGGGGGGTGAAATAGTGACACCCAAGCCCCACCGACACAGCTCCGCATGCCAGGATTGGGGAAGAGCTAGGGATGTGCAGAAAATATAAAACTGGTAAAAGAGAAGTAATCACTTCCTTTGTGCAGGCAAGTTATTAGACCGAGACATCTGTGGTGTGAGGGACTGAGTTTAGCATATGGATTGGGGGTCAGTCCCCGTTCTCCACCTGGGACTGGATATCCCACTGTACTGGTGTATCTGGTGGCTCAGGGTGAGTACCTATTAACAGCTCTGTGCCATTAACTCCCCCAAGCCTGTTTGCTCAGGTATGAGATGGAAATAACACCATCAGTGTGCTATGCGGATTAAGTAAGGTAACAGGGGTGAAATTTCACTGTACACTGGAGATTGTTATATTGTAGAACTAGAGTATTAGTGCAATGACGACTGTAGTTAGCCATCAGACTTGGCCTCAGACAGACTTGGGTTCTGATTCCGGCCTCATTACTTACTAGATCTCCTCTAGGATTATGAGACATGGGCATAATGTCAGCACCAGCTGGTGAGAGTGCGACAATTACAGGAGACGAAGCATGTAAGAGAGTGGTCAGCAAAGTGCTCGGCACACAGTAAGTACTTGATAAACCGTAACTGCTTTTAAAGATTGTAATTCTTCTTGTTAATATTCTTCAAAAAGATCAGGTCTTTGCCATAGATTTCATTAACAGACCCCAATCATTAGAAACGTCTGGTGGGAAACTGGTTTAAGTTTGGGTCCTGCAGATGAAGTCTGAGTCTCATCCCGACAGCAGAAGTGAGCGGCAGGCGGTGAAAGCGGAGCAGCGGCCACCACTGCCTCCGAAGACAGGCAGCTGAGCTGGCCCGGGGCTGGGATCCCGGTCCCCTGCTGTGCGAGGACCACGGAGGCCGAGTGGCCGGCCGCATCCTGTGGACTCAGCAGCACAGCTGGGTGGATGCGCACACAGACACTCACCAATTAGAGGAACCTGCCACCGGGGGCAAGGCAACCTCTGCTCTGACTGACAGGACGGGCGAGCGGAGGCGGCCATCCATCACTGTCGGGGAGGATCTGAAGCACCTAGCTGCTCAGTTGAAATAAAATAAATTATTTACTGATCTCAGGGTCCAGCTGATCACTTGAGTGCTCATAAAGGCTGTGCTGCTTGCTGCCATGCACTCTGGCGGATTCTGTTTCAGGAAGGAAGGGTTTCTGGATTGCTGGGTGCAGGTGTTTGTTGTTGTCAGAATTAAAGGAGGTTACGTACCTGCTTTGTGAGAAGGGAGACAGGGTCTTAAGCTACGTATCTGAATTCGTTCATGGGAATAGGAAATGAGTGTATTCACTTCATGGTACGGGTCTCAGGACACAGTGTATCTGTCAAAAAAGTTCTTAGGACTAATTAATGCAGTTTCTACTTACAATGCTAAAGATTGAATTTAATGCGTAAGAGAAACAGTCTGACGTTTTGGAAGCATCTCAGAGCTGGATGCTCCACCAGAGGGAGCCATGTGCACCACTGGAAGCTTCCAGAGCGGCTGGGACCTGGCCTCTGGTCACTTCTTTTCTGAGAACCTCTGCTCTAGGGGGGACGCTTGTATCATTGTCATCCATTTCTACCTGAGGCGTCTCTACAGTGGCTACAACGGAGCCACTACCTAACCGGAGTGATCTGGTTACATGTTTTCAAGATGGTGGACTAGGAGAGGAAGAAGCAAAATAAATGTTACTGACAATAACAACACTACAATAAGCTACCATGGAGAGTGCAGCGTCTACGGGCCACTTGCATACAATCCTGAAAGGTAAATGTAAGCCACATGTTTTAAATGACAGGAACTAAGACGAACCAGGGGGAGGGACTTGTCCAAGGTGACGCTGCCGGTAAGCAGTGATGCTGGGATTCAAACCCAAGCTCCGCTCTTCTCACAGATCCTTCTCTGGATCTTTTCTGTCTTTCTTTTGTTTTATTTAATATTTTAGATGATTTTTTACAGAGAGGAAGAAAGAGGGATAGAGAGTTAGAAACACTGATGAGAATCATCGATCAGCTGTCTCTTGCCCACTCCCTACTGGGGATGTGCCCACAATTAAGGTACATGCCCTTGATTGGAATCAAACCTGGGACCTCTCAGTCCGCAGGCCGATGCTCTATCCACTGAGCCAAACCTGTTTCGGCTCTCTGGACCTTTTCCTTTATGTTTTTCTTTTCTTTTCTTTTTTTTGTAATTTTGAAAAAGAAAGAGAGGAACAAAGATTTGTTGTTCCACTTATTTATGCATTAATTGGTTGATTCTTATATGTGCCCTGACCAGGGATTGAACCCGCAACCTTGGTATATCAGGACAACGCTATAACCAGCTGAGATACCCTGCCAGGGCCCCTGGGCCTTTTCCTTTAAATAAATATACAGGTTGGAATCTGATGAATTAGTTTGGCTTTTAGCCTTGAGACAAAATTAGGGGGAAGAAGCCCACAAACCAAGTTTGCACTGCTTTTTCACCATGGGGATCAGTGGATTTTCTGATTATGCTCACCTGGGAAAACCTATGCCTTCTCTCCTGGACCTTTATCTTGGCTGCACTCTGGCTGTTTATGAGCTTCTTAAAACTGAACCCACTCAGAGAAAACAGACCCTTTGTTACTGGGAAGGCACTGCATTCAGGCACACGCAAACTGGATATCTGAGTAGCATCCTTATTTTAGTAAACTTCTCACTGAAAATATACCAACGGAAAGTACATAAATCATAACCGTATGTATGCTTGACTTTCCCGCAAAGTCTACAGACTCATGTAATCAGCACCCAGATAAGGCACAGAACTTAAAAAAAAATATTTTATTGATTTTGTACAGAGAGGAAGGGAGAGAGATACAGAGTTAGAAACATTGATGAGAGAGAGTCATCGATCAGCTGCACACCCCCTACTGGGGATGTGCCCGCAACCAAGATACATGCCCTTGACCGGAATCGAACCTGGGACCCTTCAGTCCCCAAGCCGAAGCTCTATCCATTGAGCCAAACCGGTCTCAGCAAGGCACAGAACTTTATCAGTGTCCCAGAAGCCCCTCCAGTCTGAGCTCCCAGGATAACCACCACCATTACTTCCACACAGATTATTTTTGTGTATTTTTCAATGCTACATAAATGGAATCATACAGTCTGTACTTTTGCCCCCCTTCCTGGACCTGGTTTCTTTCTGAGCACTCTTTTATTTTTATTTCTAGGAGACATCCCAGGAAAAGCATCCCCAGGAAGAACACCCCTGAAGAAACTTTGTTTTAAGAATCAACATTAAATAAGCTTTTTTTTTTTTTTTTTTTTTTTTTTAAACCACTTTAGAGATTTAGTTTTTTGTGGGAGGGAGAAACAGTCTAGAGAGGGGGAAGAAGAGCAGGTTCTTTGTTTTGGTTCAAAGTCCCTGGGTGCTAACTCATGTACTGAGTTTGTTGGAATCACCATCCTCTCAGCAGCTGACGTTCACCGAGCACTTCTTTGTGCCAGCTGCCTTGCTAAGCGTTCTGCATGTGCTATGACATTGCATCCCCACGATCACCCCATCTCTGCGGTAGGGACTGTTATCTTCATTTTACAAATGTGGAGACGGAGATTCAGGGTCATCTGCCCGGGATGATACAGCCAATAAGCGAGCCAGGCTTTGGACCAGGCCTCGAAGTCCTGTCTGTCCTCGGAAGTGCTTGCTTAGCAGCCGCCAGGCCCGTGCTCAGGGCTGTGTGGGGACCGCTGGCTTGTTCCAGGCGGAAGCGGTGCCACTAACACTCCCACTTACGCAGAATGGAGCTGAGCTCGGAGAGATGAAGACGCTGCCTACCATGGCTGTAACTGATGGAGCCACAACGTAAACCAGTTGTGGTTCTGACGCTCATCTTTTCGTTACTAAGCTGTACTGTCAGCATACTTCTAGCTCCTGCCAGTCAAGCTGGGAAGAAATTATTAAGGTATTTTTCAGGCTTTATTACAATTAGCCAGACTAATGCCAACATTAGAAGAGGTTTTATGATGAGACACATACGAAGCATTTATGAGAACCGTAAGTCTTATAAAAGAGTGAGACTCCAAGCCTTCTCCCTTATGCAGGGAGCAAACGAGGCCCAGGCAGGAGCAGTGTGGCAGAGGTCAGCAGCAGTCCAGCTTTCTGACTAAGCCAGGCGTCCGCCCAGCCTCCCCCTCCTCCCACCATCTTATTAGGGAGCAGGTGCACTCACATTGGCCAGACCAGGGCTCTGGTCCTGACACCACCAACCTACCTGCCGTGTGAACTTGAGCTCCCCTTCACCTCTCTGTCCCTTATCTACCTTCTCTGTGAGGCGGGGACGGTACACATTCTACCTTCTCGGTGGTTAAGTGATGCATGTGAAGCACTCAGCACAGTGTCTGATACTCAGCGGACACCTGTCCATGACAGCCATGACAATGAGGTATTCATAGTCTGTTGACTGCTATGACATTTTCCCCTAATCCTGTTAGGTTTAAGTCAAAACAGAAATTTAGCATTTGATTGGAACACATTAACACCAACTATTAGTTGAAAGTTAGTTCCGAATTATCTGGTGAGAATGCAAATACAACTTCTGAGATAACTATAAAGCTTCCCGAATAAGTAAGTGCATGAGTGACTAGGCAACGAGTCCACGGAGCAGGGAAAGGCACGCGGCAGTGCTAGAAGCAGGCTCAGCATGGCAAGTAAGAGGATTACAGAATGAGAAGAATTATGGAACCTCGCACAAGTCAATCGGTTTGAAAAGAGTCTCGAGTTAGTTCTATTTCCAATCTTCTGCTTCATAAAAAAGAAGACAAGACAGAACGCTCGGCTGGGGAAAAGGAGGTACTTTAAATTTCATTGTTTAAACATTTTCTCTGAAAACAAATTACCGCAGCCATTCGGGTCACACAGAGCGGTATGCTGTTCCTTTCCCCATCTCCGCCCTGACCACTGATATGAAGCGCTCACTTCATCACCGGTCCATGCACTTACCTAACTGCACGTCGGTGGTGAATCGCAGTCTGTGGATCATGCTGACTTTGAATGACTTGTAATGGTGGCTGCTGAGCATATCCTGTACTGTCGCTATGTCAATCTGCGAGTCCTCCTCAAAAACCCCGTCTGCCCTTGAACCTGGGGAGGAAAAAGCAGTTTAGCACATAAAGATACATGAGGCTTGGCAAATGTTGTCTGCTTAAAATGCTCTGGGATAAATTAAAATAATATGGGCTATTTAATTTGGAGAAGAAAAGGCTGAGCGATGACTTAATAATGCCATTCCAGTAAACAGAGGACGGTAACATATTAATCATTCAACAATTAATTCCACAAACACGGCCTCTTCGGTGGCGGGCCCTGGGCCAGGCAGCGGGGATACTGAAGGTGAGAAACACTCCTGTTCCCCAGCAGCTCTCGGCCTCCACAGGAGAAAGCCAAAACCACAAAGCAGAAGTGGCCACATTTCTCGTTTCTTTTTCTAATATTACTTTTCCTCATCATGAAAGTAACCCATACTTCTTGAAGAATCCCTTCCTTTCTGAGATTCTCAAATATCAGCTTGCCATCCTGGGCCCGTTTCCGCGGATGCAGGCACGAGCCAGCTCACCCGCGATGGCTGACAGCCTCCCACTGGCCTGCTGGCCACCAGGCTGCCTCTGCACTCCAGCCGCCACAGGGCTCTCCCATTCATCCTTCTACGGCTTTGATCATTTATTCACTCATCGAATGTTCAGTGAGAGCTCTGAGCATGCTAAGTACTCTGATATGTGACACCGGCGACAAGGAAGACAACTGGTACTGAAAAACCGTCCCTGGCTTCCCACGGCTTCCCGAACGATGCACACCCTTTTTCAGCCAAGCAGGCAGGACTGTCCGTAATCTGGCTGAAGCAAACATTTTCAATTTCATTTGTCACTCCTCACATACACCTTCTCTCAGCAGCTCCCAGACTCCCCAGGCTGCACGCAGATGCAGGTATTTCTACTTCTGGGCCTTTGCTCATGCGGTACCCTTGGCCTAGAACACACTTTCCACCCTTACCCTGCACCTGTCCGTGCCCCTCCCCCCCCACCCCCTCCCCGCAGGCTAGCCCAAACTCCGCCTTCTGCCGAATTCCATTCCCACTGGGTCCAGGGAGACCTGGGCTCAGTTCCTAGCTCCGCCTCTCACTTGCTGCACGACCTATGGCAAGCGACCGGCTCTCTGAACCCCCGTCTTTGCCATACACAGAATGTCCGAATGTGCTTTAAAAACACATACTACACTTAATAGGTAGCAGTCATGATCATTTTTATTCTACTGCCATAGAGGATCACATCCCGCCTGGCACTGGAGCTGCTGAGTGGTTGTGCCTGTCCTAATTCGGAAGCACTGTGAGGGCCAGTAAAGTGTGTTCTTCATTTCAGCAAGCCGTCCAGACAACTGGTATGCTCTCACTAAACTCTGCTAAATAATTAAATAACCACGCAGAAGCTGGGGCACATGAGTGCTTGGCTCATCTCAGGCTCTGGGAATCCGAGGCTTCTGAGGTGAAGTCACACGTCCAAGGTCACACTAACCGAAGCTACACTCTCGCCCTGCGGAGTGGGAAATGTGTCATCCTGAAGGTGCAGCTGCTGGTGCCACTCGCCAGGGGGAGGGAGACCTGCTGGCAGAGGCCAGCAGCCAGGGAGCCCTAGGCCTTGCGCTGAGCAGCTGGAGATGGGTCCACAGGAAGAGCTGGAGAGAACCCCTTGGGTAGAGTTGGAGTGGTTAAAACTCAAGATTTGGGTACAAAACAGGAACATCTGTTACCCAACAGGTAGACTGACCACTACATGCTTTTCCTTCCCACAGTATTGCTTACAGAATGAGCTTTTTCTTTTTTTAAATCCTCAACCGAGGACATGTTTTTATTGCTTTGAGAGAGGAAGAGAGAGAAACATTGATGTGAGAGAGAAACATGGATTGGTTGTCTCCCGTACACGCCCTGACTAGGGATTGAACTTAGGTATGTGCCCTCACCGGGAAATGCACTCACAACCTTTTTGGTGTGTGGGAACAACGCACCAAGCAACCGAGCCACCCGGCCAGAGCTTCAGGGTGAGCTTTTAGGTCAAAGTTGGCTCCTGATGCCTTCCCCTGAACCCCTGTTAAGAGAGTGCACTGGCTTTCCAGACACGGCGCTCATTTCCAGCCTGGACCACGCCGGCCACCACAATAATGCTTCCTCTCACCGAGGACAAGCCTTGCCCTCAGTGGCCATTCATGTCCTGCCTGTGACACTGTTGGCACATGCTGCCCTCTCTGCCCAGGTCATCCTGTTCCTATTCCCCCTCCCCCCCCACCCGCCTATTCCTCCAGGCGCCTCCCTATTCTTCCTGACACTCAGGCCCCCAAGTATAGTTCAGCTCCCGTCATTGCACCCCCATTTTCCTTCAGAGTACTTAGCACAGCGAGTAAGGACCTGTCTGCCATTGGACTGTCACCCCTGGAGGGCAGGCACGGTGGCTGCCTTACTGGCCCCTGTGGCCCAGGCCCTGCCGGGGCTGCCATGCGCAGGGTAGGGCAAGTGCTCAATAAAACGTGCCGGACGAGTGCCAGGTGCCAGGCCCCCAGGAAGGCGAGGATCAGAGGCAGAGGGCCTTCGCCAACGTCACCTGGCGAGGATGAGCAGAGCTGCACCCAGCGTCTGCCAGGGCCACTGGGAACCCTGCTTCCTGCTGTGGGTCGCCTGTGATTCTGGACAGAGATGCCACCAGCAGGACCACCCACCTGCTGGGGGCTGTGCACATCTCTAACGGAGACGCTGGGGGGAACTTAGATTTGAGTAATCATTCACCTTCTCCAATGCATATCTGACTGAAACAGAACTGCCAAGATGCGTTTATTTCGATGTTAGAGCCTTTTATATACATGAGAACTGTGGAGAAGTTTGATGAAATATTAAAATCCTTTCACAGTTTTAAAAATAATTTAAAGCCATCTTTTTTGAGGAAATGCTATTATTAGGTATAACTTAGTTCAAGAATTTCTGTTTTCTTTATTAATAAGTATTTTCTAAATATTGAAGATTCTTGATTTGGAAAGAGATAACAGCTAATTATACTAAAATGCCAATTACTAGAAAAAAAACAACCCCCCCCCTCCAAAAAAAACCCCCAAAAACCTCACACAAAAACCAAAACAACACACCACACTTAAGAGTTTTGCATTTTATGATGTTGGATTAAAACCAATTTAAAAATTACTATAACGTGACATATAATTTTTTACGGAGCAATTTCAATGCCAGCTGCTAATAAAGCATCTTAGCTGTAAATGATAATTCAGATGCTTTTAGATAAAGTGGTGCATAAATATAGTTGGAAATTGATTTAGCTTCTTCCAGAAGCTCCTGAAGAATGACATATTTTGTTTAATACACCAGCTAATGTAGTCCTAAAAGCTCAAACAAGTGCCAGTTTTCACTCCTAAATTTGCTGGGGGAGATTAATGAAAACTTTATATTTTGCTGAAATGTTAATAATGGGCAGAGGAGACGATGGGATTTTAGTGGAGGTCTTAAAGCTATGGAATAACCAGCAAGGCTTGTCAATTTCCTTATATTAATTTTGTCCAAGACTGATGTCGCTGGAGCTGGCTCAACACACTAATGCTTCTTGCATTGACCTTCTACTCTCTGACAGTGTAAATTCATGTCCCGTGTGAGGATCTGGGTCCCCTGCTACTTGAGTGAGCTCTGAGTCCTCCCCCAGCGGACAAGGGGCATGTTTGCTTTCATGATCAAAAGGGCACCAGCCCCTGGGGGAGCAGAGAAGGAAGAAACAGCCCTGCACACGCTCCCAATACCTGCCGCTCACACCAAAGCGGGCCATCTGCTGGATGGAACGGCTCTGGCCCCGGACTTCCAGGGCCTTTCTCAGTGTAGGCTCAGGAGTGCTGCTGAAGGGGCAGGTGTGTGTGTGTGTGGACCAGCCAGCCTGCGACCTGCCCCACCCTCAGGCCAGCGGCATGCTAGACCTCGGAGGCACACTGGTGAGGTGAAGGCAGGGTTCCTGATCTTCAGGAGCTTACAGACTTGCTGTGAAACACAAAGAAACAGTACAAAGCAGAGAGAAAGCCCAACAAACGGTTCAGGCAGCAGACGCTACCTAAAGACAAACGTCTGAAGCAGGCCATTACCCCAAAAACATGTTTTCTGGGCCAGGAGAGTCCATGACTGCACATGCTCCTTTCCTGTTTACGTCCTTCCTGGAAGGACGTAAAAACCATGAAATATGCTTGGCACTGCTCCGTGTGCAGATTAAAACTAATACTGTGCTACCAACTTCACATCTAAAACCCACTCCTGTTCAAGAGAAGACTTTTTATCTACTCAACGTAAAAAGTAGAGAGAACCAGAATGTCTTAAAAATAAATATATTAACAAAAAAACACTCCCCAAACTGTTAACTTAATTGAAACATAACCCTTTGGTATTTTGTTAAATTAGCAATTAAGAAGGTCACAAGCAATTAAGTGAAACAAAAGCCACACTGTGCTCATCTACATTAACGCTGAACTGGGTCTCCGGGTGAATGACAAGATGAATTGTAATGGTGCCTTCAAAGACTTCATGATGTACTTTGTCAAAGTCGGGAGTGTTAATGTCTCTATGTGCCATGGATTACCATAATGTATTGTGTCAAAACGCTCGAGCTGCAATAACTCAAAGTAGTATTGTGATAGATCAAATTTTGGGGCGGGGCCTAAACGTGACACAAGCACCAGATCTCAAATGGTCTGACAACAGGCTCCGGAAGAATGACGGAGGTCCGTTCACAACGTGGAATGGTGCAAGGGACAGCAGAAACCCAAGGCGAAGAAGCTCAGCTCTCAGAGTAAGGAATTAGCAAGGAGGAAACAGGCAATGGCACTGCTTCGAATGGCAAAGCCGGACCAGGGCAGGACAGGACAAAGGAAAGCAGAGATGAGGTGAAGGAGGTGGCAGGGGAAGTCTAGGGCTCGCAGCCAGAAAGAGGTGCTGAGAGAGAGACAGCCAATGGCTGGGAAGTGGCCTTGGGGCTCAATAACACTGGAAAGAACGAGACACAGAGTTCAGAGATGTAGGTTTAAATCTTAACTCTGACACTAAGGGTCAAGAGTGGGTCAAA